AGTCTCTCTCCATCAGAGTCTCAGCGCACCCTAGGGAAGGGGCAGGGCAGGGCAGGGCAGGGCAGGGCCGGGCAGGGCCGGGCCGGCTCGGCTTCCTGGAGATTTAACCTGGCCGCTGCACTCTGCCTAAGCAGGCACTTTAGTCCACTGAGCTATCTGACCAGCCCTACTGTGAAGCTTTAAATAAAAGCTATCGTCAGTTCAGACCTCCTATGCCTTCCATTAATGTTAACATCTTATATAACCCATTGAACAATTATTTAAACCGGGAACTTTGCATTGGTCCTTATGCAAATAATTGCTCCAGTTTTCCCACTGTTGTCTCTTTCCTGTTCTGGTGTCCTCCTCGTGCTCCCCCATTGTTTATCATTTCTGCTTAGTCTTTTCCTGTAGCAGCCTCTCAGTCTTTCCTGATCAGAATTCCTAAATGTCTTACTGCTGATAAAGTTCAGGATGGTGTCTGGTGGGAGATAGTGTCTCCACCCTAAAATAACTGTCTTCACTTTTGTAGCGAGAAAATATCTTTGGGGAGATATCTTGAAAGTGTGGTAAGAACAAGATTTATATCACTTCATTCACTTAAGTAAATCTTTGAAATCAGAAGTGCTGACTTGGCATAGATTTAAATCTTTGCAGCTTATGAATCTTGAAGTATCATTCACCACTTGAACAAGCAAGAATGAAATAGTAATACAGGGTCTTCAAGTCTTTTAATAGATTGCCATTTTGCTTTTTCTTCCAGGCCTTAGAGTGACTATCAATAGCCTACACTTGGTAATTAGATGCCGCAACGGCCTATTTTAACTCTGTGTTCCTTAGACCTGGAGCGGATAGCTGGCCTGCACGAGGTGGAGTGTGTCTGCAGTGCCCCGCCACCTGAGGAGACGTACCTCGCCGCCAGCAGAGCGTTGCCCTGCCCTTGGGGCGCAGCAGGCACGTTCACAGACCCTGCAGTCAGAATGAGTCTGTGGCATACATTCTGGTTTGGTAGTAAGACTTCCTTGGTTTCGAGTGGCTTTGTGAAGGGAGGTGGGGGATAGGTGGTCCTGTAGTTGCGTCTGTTGTCTCTTGAAATGATGATTAAAGGACCTGATTTATTGTAGGTTCACATTTAGGTTTATTTACATAATTTATGTTTTAAGTCATTTCGGGGTTTCAACCAAGTTACTAGAAGCACTTTTTACCAAGTTAAATTTCAGTCCTTGGATAGCTAAATTCTCTTCCCTGAGCCAAATTAATAAAATTGAATTTTTTATTAAGAATGAATTATTAAGTAAAGTAGAAGTACTGGCTAGGAAAGCAATTGATGCAATTTGTTTTCAAAGCTTTAAAAGTGCTGCAGTGTGCATAGATCACAAGGACTGGCTTAAGTGCCAACGTGTGGGACATTAATTTTCTTTCATAAGGGATTCCAGATTCACAGGATATCAGAAGTGCTGACTTGGCAGAGAAACCCCATTTGTAACATGTTAGATTAGGAAACAGATTGATTTATATGTTGATGTAATGGATCAAGGTGCAGTCTGTGCTGAGAAATGGAGAGCACATTAAATGAGTATTTTCAAAGTGAGTAAGTACATTGTAGAAAAAATCATCCTATCTTACTCTAGGTAAGGTAGGGGTGTGTTTGGTTAGTCGATTCCTAGACATGGTCCACAGAGGCTTTTTATGTTTCGGATGATACCTTCCTGAGTCTCTCATGACCACAAGGATTAATCTTTCTGAACTCAGAAGTGAATCACTGTAGCATATTAGCTGTCTGGATTGATTCCAGTGAGTCCTTTTTCTTGGTGGTAACTGATAGAAGGATCTGTGGCTACGAACCTCCTCTTCCTGTTGCTTTAACCTCTGGTATTTTAGCTCCTCTTCAGGGAAGGCAGTGCTAACCATCTCAGCACAGAGATCAAGTGCACTTACCACTCAGGCATTGCCCTCCGTGGTTGACCCATACGCTGAACACTTAGGGCAGCTGGAGCTCTTGTGGCCTTTTAGCCGGCAGTCATAATGAGCAACATGTGGAACATCATCTTTGGTGCTGATGAATGGCTGCCTGCACTAAAATTGACCGCTTCATGGCTGTGGGTTTGGTGAGTCTCATAACTAATTGACAGCTTTTTCTTTTTTTCCCCCGTATTCATTTTTGGAATTTGAGGGGTAAATATTCTCAGTCACCTCCATCTTCTGAAAGATTCCGTGCCAGAGTCAAATCCTATTTAATAGCTAATTTAATGTTGAAGTACTAGAAAGAATTAGGAAACATTGCTCAGGATCTTTCACATGTAACTGATACTTCAGTGAATGTTTGAGTTAGGTACCATTAAAGTGTTAGCATAAGTAAGTGTGTATTCCTTTCCCTAGATACCTTTAAATGTTTTTTTCTTCTTTGAAGGGGGCAGGTATTCACCTCAGTTTGTAGCCTCATAAGCAGTTTTAGTGAAAGAAGGCATAAGACTTTCTCCTTCAATAATGATAATTCATCACATAATTTTAGTTAATAAAGGTGTCAGTTGTTTATTGAAAAGTAGAGATGTTTTTCTGCCTTAGTAGGTCTTGGTAACGTTTTAATTCCAAATTAGCTTTCTCCCAGTGATCTAACAAGGGTTTGTGTTTCTTTGTCTTAAGCTAGTAGAACGCAGGCTGACTTTTACTAAGCTGCATTCTGTTTGGTTGTATTTCTTACTATGCACAACATACAGATTGAGCTTTGCCAGACATGCGTGTGCTACAGTTTCAGGGTTAGTACTGTGCAGTGGCGGGCATCCCCTGGAGTCTTGGGATGCATCCTGTGGGTAAAGGCACAGACTGCAGTAACTGGCTGCGTAGATGCCTGTGCTCTTCTAGGGCACAGTATTTTGCAGGAATGTTACTGTCAGTATTCCTAAGGGGCTGGAGAGATGGCTCAGTGGTCTAAAGCACCTACTTAGAACAAGCTTGGCAAAGCATCAGGGACCGCGGTTCAATCCCCAGCACCACATGCCAGCCAGCCCCGCCCCCTGGTGGGCTAGCTGGCCACACACACACACACCCACACCCACACACACGTAAATAAAATTTTAAAAAAATATTCCTAAATGCCGCTTCTCACCTATAACTTTGAGCTATTAATAGTTAAGAGCTAGTAACAAAGCAAGATGATACTGACCAAAGAAAAACTTCAGGAAATAGTTATTTTTACCCAACACAAGTGTTCAGGAACTTCCCTCCACACCCTTTTTACAAAGAAAGGGTTATGTCTCTGTGTTTTCAAGGTTGGTCTTGAACTCATGCGCTCAAACAATCCATCTAGCAGAGACTACAGGCATGTCACCTGGCTCATAGAACCCCTCTCAGTGTTCTGTTCCATGATTGATGCTCCCACAAGCTAAGTAATGCAAGCTGTTGCTCAGCTTTGTGTTACTGTAATGAAATACCTAAGATAATGAACTGTAAGAAAAAAAGGAAGCTGGAGACCTTCCTGGTCCATGTAGCAACGTTGTAAAAAAAACATAAGAAAAGGCCTGGGAGTGCAGGTCACTGGTACAGAACCCTAGGTTTGCTTCTCAAGTACCAAAAAAAAGGAGGAGTAGGAGCCATATGGTGGCGACATACCTGTGATCCCCGCACTTGGAGTCTGAAGCAGGATGATCATGAGTTTGACACCAGCCTGGACTACATACCAAGATCCACTGCCCCCCTTTAAAAAAAGTGATTGTGTCTCACGGGTTCAGAAATCTCCATCCAAGGTCGGCGCTGTTGTTTGGGGGTCTGTAGTAAGGCAGAGTATCCCAGTGAAAGAGCATGGCAGAAGCTGCTGCTCTTATGGTGGCTGGGAAGCAAAGAGATGGGAATGGGCCAAGGTCCCGAAGTCCCCTCAAGGACATGCCCTGTGACCTTCCAAGGGTCCTCTCCCCTAAAGCAGTTCTGGCAGATCGGTGGCACACATGCCTCACTGCTGCAGGAGCTGTTTGTTACCAGTGAAGGCTCTGCAAGGTTTACCATCACTGTCTTAAAGGTTCTACCCCCTCCCAGCAGTATCAGCTGGTGCCTTCTTCAGTTGTGGGCCTTCGGACGAGCAGGATCTAAACCACAGCCCAAGGCAAGCCTGACATCATCCTCTTTCTCACTGCCCATTACTTAATCTGCCCCTAAGTCTTACCATTTTGCTCTGTAATTTCTTGAATTTCTGGCCCGATCTCTGTGCAAGCACTATTGTTCTTCTCTTGCGCTGTGGATGGAACCATTTTCCTGGATTTTTTTTTTTTCCAGTTCATTTTTTTTTTAACCCTGCAACCAGAAAAGACATCATCACTGCATTTTAAAAATAGTAACTTTGAGCTCAGAAATGTCTTAGCATTTCCACTGATGAAGCCTGAAATCCTTTCAGTGTACTCTGTAAACCTGTCTCGACATTCTTCTCCCTGTCCCCGTTCTCCCTGTGAGGTGCTCCGGACCCCTTGATCATCTCCCTTTCCAAGCTACGTCACATTGCCTTTTTTATATTATCTTAGGGGATGTGATCATACCATTTTGTGTGTATACGTTTTCTGTGAATTCTGACTTGTGCCCTAGAAGGGAAACCTAGAGAGTGGAATCATGACTATTCTCACCCATTCTAACTATTTAGCATATTGCTTTGCAGAATAGTTTTTTCAATATTTTTTGTTGTTGTTGTATGAGTGAGGTATATGAAGTATTGGGACATTAGTTTTGTTTTATGATTTGATATGCGTCAGAATTTGTAAATTGCTTACATGAGGGCAAACTACAGTTACTTTTTAAATTCTCAAGGTAGAAGTAGCCCCAAGCAAGGGCTTGGGACTAGATTTCCCGTTGACATTTCACTTTGAAAAGGTCATTTTAAAATTCTGTTCTACCTTCTGGGAAAAGGATTTGTTTTTTGGGTTTTTTTAATAAAAAGAATAAGCAGTGAAGATTATCAAAAGATCCCTTCTATCAGAAACCACTGTGTATGTTTTGCCAGCCTTCTGGGAATAAACTAGTTCTGCATTCCTCTTTGGTAGGCTGTTGCAGCCAATGCTGGAACAGGATTTGCTGTTGCCGAGCCTCAGATTGCAATGTTTTGTGGGAAGTTAAATATGCATGTGAACATTCAGACTGGGAAATGGGAACCCGACCCATCTGGCACCAAGAGCTGCTTTGGAACAAAAGAAGAGGTTCTTCAGTACTGTCAGGAGGTAAGATCATTGTCAGGAAGTTTAAAACACCCTGGCCCCTGCCAGGGTTGAATCTCTTTACCTTAGAAATAGATTCTCAAAAAGAAAAAAAAAAAAAGAAAAGAAATAGATTCTCCATTCTTTTGACCCAAGAACCAGGATGCGTGTAACTGGAGCCCTAGGTCTTCAGCTTTGAGTGTCTGATGTGATTGAGGTCTCACCAACCTTTCTCTGTCTGGTTGTGAGCAAATGCTTAAGAAGCACAAACTAACTCTCTTGTCTTGGGAAGATAGAAAGTAAAATATGTCATGTGTATTCTTGTGTTTGCTATTTGGTAATAGAAACCACTATAAAAGTATCTCCTCAGATCACATCCAGTTTAACTTTTTGGTTTAGAAAGAAAAGGATATAAGATATTTTCATTTGTTACCAAGGGCCGGGGATAATTTCATTACTAGACTTTCTTCGTGTTGTTCCCCCACCCCCAGGAAGTTGGAGATTTATGTTTGCACTATAAGCAAGCTTAATACTCACTTGGATTTTTGGGGGGTTGAAGGCTTGCTGCTTTTGTTCTTAAATGCAGATTCATTTTTGATGAGAGAACATGGAAGAAATAAGTCTGACTTCTCAGTTGTGAGGATCATTCTATTTGATAACTTCAATTGGTGCAAAAAGTAGTGGAGTGGAACTTAGCTTTATGTAGGAAAAGGGTCCAGGATGAATAAATTTAGGTCTCTACTCTTGCTTTAAAACTTCATGTCCATCTGCAGGGAGATTCATCCCGTGTGTTGGTCTTCTTTTCCTTAACAGATGTATCCTGAGCTGCAGATCACCAACGTGATGGAAGCAAACCAGCCAGTTAATGTTGACAACTGGTGCCGGAGGGACAAAAAACAATGCAAGAGTCACATCGTTATACCTTTCAAGTGTCTTGGTGAGTGTTCTTGGTAACTTCAGGAAGTCTTTTGCTCCCCTCCTTAAATTTAATTTTTTCTTGGTTCACAGTGATGTATCTGCATGGTTAAGATGAATTTATTGGGAGGTTTCTCTTACGGGTATTTAGTGCTTTCTGAACATGGCTTAGACTTGCAGAGTCAGTGGTTGCCTGCTTCTCTGTGACTAACTTGGCCTCTTCTCTTGTGCCTGTCTTGTCTCTGGAAGACCAACCTTTTCTATGGTACTGAGTAAGCACGTTGCCCACAGAGCAGTCCAGCTTTGCGCTCTCATTAGCAGTTTGAAATTAATGATTCACAGCAGCAATAGAGAAGAAAGCAGCCGAAGGAAGAGTCTTCTTCATCCTGCTCATTTGCACTGTTAATCAGGCCATACTTCTGGTTGTGTTCAGGAGGAAAAGTGACTCATAAAAGCCTGTGGGCAGGTGCCAGGGCCAGATGCTGCGGGACTTGCCACTCCTAAGGACCGAGAGCTTATCTTACTGCTCATGACTGCATCGCTGGTGTTAGTACTCAGAGCCAACTTGAGTAAAGCTGTGATGATACTGCTAGGAAACAGTCCTTTGGTGAATGTAGTCGTCCTGACTTGCTCATCACCTGATGCATCTGGATTATATTCACGTATCTAGACTCCGGATGCTTTGGGAACAGACTTGGTCACAGATGCGTAAAAGGGCTGAACAGTTTCACATTGTCTCTGATAGCGTCGCCGTACGCGTGACACTGACACAGATACCTGAGTAGTTTTATAGATAGAGCTCATGTGAGCCGTCAGCTTACCCTTTTCTCTTCTTTCCCTTTTTTAAAGCCTTAAACCACAGACAAATGCAAAATGGAATACATTACTGTCTTAGTCTTACGTGGCAAGGACCCATGTCCAAATAAAAAGGAGCAGCACCTGCAGAGCAGTTATTTAAAACCTGGAGCAGCAGTTAACTTGCTTTGACACCATTCTGAAGGGGAAAAGGGGGCACTGTGTGTGCTTAACACCATTTGCTTTAAAGTGGAGCATTTGCGGGAGTGTAGAACTTGTTAAAAATTTTGTCTGACGCGTTGTAAGGATGCTCTTTCCTTCCATTTGCCTGCGAATTTTTGCCTGTAAGGCTTCATTCATTGTAAAATTCTGAAACTATAAGGAGAAAAAAAGATGGTTTTTGAGTATTTCCAGACCACAGAAAGAATTTGTGACTGTTTCTTTTGTTGTATTATTCCCCCTGGAGATGTTACTGCCTTATCTTCACTGCAAGATTACTATGCTAGGCCGGGGAGATGGCTCAGTGGAATAAGCACTTGCCTAGCAAGCGCAAAGGCCTGAGTTCAATCCCCGGTTCCACCAAAAAAAAAGATTACTATGCTAGATAGCTGAGTGAGACCTGGACCTGGGAGACAGCTCTGATTCTTCTTAGCCTTTGTGTCTCCCCTTACCCATTTGGTTTTCAAGTGGCCTGATTTTTACCAGTTCGATATGGCTTATATTCCTGATCCTCAGACTGTACTGAGGCACCCCACGGTCGGCACAGACCCAGAGGACACTGTGTGTTGGTATCTTGTCAGATGTTGTACAGCCTCTAGCCCAAGGGGGTTCCCAGCTTCCACGTTTTCTACCTGTCAGTGGCCTCCTCATGGACAGGCGGTGTTTATAGTGGTTCCTGTGGTAGATGCTGTGAAGGAGGTGGCTGGCTATACGTCAACCATGTGTGTTGCCAGGCCCGAGCGCTTCTTCCATCTTGGTCAAGGGGAGTGCTAACCCTCTCTCCTTTCAGGAGTGTGGTTCCTATGACAGAAAGCAGTTATCCTGTGAGAGTCCCTGGAAGAAGTGAAGGCAACAGAGTTGGATGGTTGCAGTGTAGGAGTTGTGCGGTACCTAGATCACACTCACTAATGCTTAATAAGTTACACCAAGCTACTTCATTACAGTTAAATACTTTTGACTTAGGACTGTTGCAAAAAAAAAAAAAAATTCGAGACACTCGGTGTTGAGTTGAAAAAATTTGGGAGTCTCTGGCTTGCGTGCTCCTCCACCAGACTCCCGCTGTTCTACGTTGGCCTTTTGTCGTTGTTCAGACAGGTTTGTCAAGATACAGTTTATATACTGTACAACTTAGCCATCTTTATGCATTTTAATGGTTTGTAGTATATTCATTTAGTTATCCAGCATGGGGAATTTGGGAGTTTTTTTGGGGTTTTTGTTGTTGTTTTTTAGATGAGGTCTCACTAAGTAGCACAGGCTGACCTCAAACTCACAGAGATCCTTTTGTCTTGGCCTCATGCATGCTGAAATTGCAGGTGTGCACCACTATCCCTGACAGATACATACAAACTACACTAAAGATTGATTTAGTAAAAAAGCAAGAGTCTTGTGTAACTCATTCCCTGGGAGGAGCCACAGTGAGTCCTTTTACATGTATTAAAATGAGAACTACACGACGGAGCAGAAGATGGTGTTACGAGTGGCTTATCCCTGAAGCCTCATGTAACATGCTGCCTAGCGAGGGGTACTGGTGCGCGCCTATAATCTCAGCACCGTACGTGGCGTCTTCACACCAACTTAGGCAGCTTGCTGACTTATAAGACCCGACTCAAAAGTAGCACGTGTGGGGAAGGCTGGGCATGGAGGCGCACACGTGTAATCCCAGCACTCAGGAGCTGAGGTAGGAGGATCATGGTGAGTTCAAGGTCAGCCTAAGCTTCGTAACAAGGCCACGTTGCTACAAGAAAGAGAAAGCTGAAGGGCCAGTGAGATAGCTCAGTGGTATAAGTGCCTGGCTGGCAAACGCAAGGTCTGAGTTCAATCCCCAATACCAAAAAATAAAAACAACAAAAAAAGTGCATTCAAAGAAAGAGAACACTAGACCTTTTGCCTAAGCTGTCTTCACCTGAGTACAGCCACCAGTGCTCTGTAAATGACAGAGCATTCTTATTTCCAGTTGGATGAGCTGCTTGCAGTAGGTTTACTTACACATGTGGGTGTTGTTCAGGGCCGGGGAGGGGTTTCTGCCAAGTAGGCTTCTCCAGATTCTGAAAGGAATTTCAATAGCTCTGAAAAAGACTGAGTGCTGGAAAGCTGCAATAGCCTGCTGGATGGAGTACAGTGGAAAGAAGAAAAACCCAGCTTCTGGGAATGCGTAGAGGGTGTAAATGGATTATGACTGCCTCTTATCTGAAATCCCATAGATTAGGATTTGCTGTATTTCCCTATTCATTAAGCAGCAAAAACAATATAGCTTTATGTCTGTACAGTAACTTGGAAATTATTACCATTATGTTTTCCTTGCCTGATTAAGCTGAGGATCATTGCAGACTTGGGTGGAAACTTTCTGTTGTTTTGTTTTGGTTTTTTTAGAGATAGGGTCTTGCTGTGTAGTTCAGGCTGGCCTTGAGCTCACTATACAGCTCAGACAGGCCTCCCAACTCTCAATGGTCCTTCTGCCTCAGCCTCCAGAGAGCCAGGTTCATATTGTGTGTACCACCATATGCGCTCCCCCCGCCACTGCCTTTCTGATAGAAACTTTAGACCAAACCATTCTTAATGTTCTATAAAGGTAATAATCTTATTGGGCCAGCCAAATAGCTCAGCGGATTAAAGCACCTGCTTAGGCACTCAGTGGCCAGGGTTCCATCCCCGGCGTGCTGTGCCAGCCTCACCCCCGGGGTGCAGTGAGCTGGCAACTGGGCGTGGTGGCATGTGCCCATAATCCCTTCTCTTGGGAGGCTGAACACAGGCAGATCACTAGAGTCAGATCTATGTAGCGAGACCCTGTAGAGCTTGTAGACGCTGTACTAAGTACCCAGAAAAAGGGTAATAATCTTTTATGTAAGTTTTCCCCCAGAAGCTTCTGATGAATAAGTCTAGCAGAGACAAAAAGTAAATGATTAACTTTCAGTTTACTCTGTGGAAAAGAGTTTACAGTGGGGGCCTGCAAGATAGCTCAGCAGACTAAGCACCTGCTTAAGCAAGCACAGGGACAGGGCTGGATCCCTGACACCACATGACCTGCTGGCCCCCCTCCATGGAGCACTGCGCCGCTCCTGGGAACACTGAGCTGACACCGAGTCTGGGCATGGTGGCATACACCCGTAATCCCAGCGCTGAGGAGGCTGAAAACAAGAGGACCGCTACAAATTGGAGTTGCATAGTGAAACTCTGTGCCAAATACATTTTAAAAACAAAGTTTATGGTGGTATCTCAGTTCACATACTTGCTGGCCAAATTGCTCAGTGGATTAAAGCACCTGCAGACAGGCACACGGGTGTGGGGTTCAAACCCAGGGCCTGCCATGCCAGCCCTGCCCCTGGGCGCACTGAGACAGCAGTGGAGACTGGGCGAGGTGGTGCGCACCTGTAATCCCAGCTCTTGGGAGGCTGTAAACAGGCGGATATCACCGTGTGAGCCCTGAACACCCCGTAGACCCTAAAGTGCCAAAAGAAAGGCGGGATGGATGTTCGGGTCACAAACTTAATTCTTTCCATGGTTCTGGTTTCAAACAGAATTGGATGAAAACTGCATCCGTTTCAGTGCTTAGATCAGTGTTGATCATGTGGGGAAAGTTGATTGTTGTCCAGTTCTCTTTGCAACCAGAATCATGAAAAGAACTAAAATTCATGCTTGAAAGGGTCGGGGAGATGGCTCAGAAGAATAAGCACTTCCCTTGCAAGTGCACAATCCCCAGTTCCTCCCTGCAAAAAAATTCATGCCTGATACAGTGATGCATACCTATAATCCAAGCACTTGGGAAGCTGAGGCAGGAGGATCACCGCCAGTTCAAGGCCAGCCTGAACTGCCTCATGAGACTCTGTCTTAAAATCAGTTTTTATGGTAGTTGTTTTCTTTTTCTATTACTCAAGAGATTAAATGTTAACATCAGGAGTTAGAACTACAATAACACATAGTGCCTACTATATGTGTTTCTGTTCTTAGCTTTTCAGTTTGTATACTACTGATAAATAACAATGCGATTGAACTGTGGTATTTAATCCTATATAAACAGCCCCTTCATTTATGCTTTTGTTGCTTTTCATCATGAATTAAAATGCTTGGGGAAAAAATTTTATTAGTTTGTTTGTTTGTTTTGGAACTGGGAATTGAACTCACGCCCTTGCACTTCCCAGGGAAGCACTTATTCCACTGAGCCATCTCCCCAGCCACATAAGGGGAAAAAAATTTTTTTAAAAAAAGGGCCGGTGAGATAGCTCAGTAGAATAAGAACTTGCCTGGCAAGAACAAGGTCCCAAGTTCAGTCCCCGGTACCACAAAAAAAAGAAAAAGAAAAAGTGTAGTTAAAGAGTATAAAACAGTTTGTAAGCTGTTTTATCAGTAGAGGAATTTGTTGTTTTCTTTTTATTAATCATTTTTAAACATTGCTTGTAAGTCAGGTTGATTGGTGAGGTTTGTATGCAGATCCGCCCTCCACTAGGACCAGAGGCAGCGCTGTAACTTGGCTGGCATTCCTGCTTCGCCTCAGTGGGGCTGTGCGCCCTGAAGCTCCCTGCTCGAAGAGTGGTATGAAGTCTCGCTGCCATGTGCAGCAGTTTTCTTTCAAGGAAGTTGTATTTACTGCTCCAGCCAGTAACCTGAGGCTTGTACGTCCCCCCTTGCCACGTCAGATGAGCAGCCCCTCTTGTCGTGTTAGCAGGACAGTGGGAAGGCTGGCTTCTCCAGGGCCTGAGGCACTGTCCTGCAGGACCCTGCTACATCTGCAAAGCTGGGGGGCTATAGGTAGACTGTCCAGCGCCTGAGACCCAAGGGCTTGGTTGACTTTTTCTCCTGTCCACACTTCATGGGTTTGCCTGCCGGCTTTTCTACCCCATTCTTTCCCACTCAGCACTGCAGTGTGGAGAGTAGGACCGATGCTCATTGTCACCTGGGAAGGACATCCTGAGTCCACCCTCACGGTGGGACCCAGGGGCAGGACGCTTTTTGTTATGACATAGAGATAGTGCCTTTGGGCCGCTGTCCCGTGGCGCTCTGTCTGTGGTCCCAGCTCACGCTGATGATCGGGATGCAGTCGTATCTTCTCAACTCTAAGCGAACAGCTTTGTGTATCCCTCTTCCCCCAGCTTAGTTTTGAAGTTTTAGAACTAAATAAAAATTATCTAGTTTGCCTGATTCACCTATATGTGGGTAATATATCTCCCTTTTGTTTGCCAAACCATTTGAAAGGTAGTTGAGGTGTTTTAACATTTTCTTTTTAAATACTTAAACTTGTTTCTCCTAAGAGGAGGGACTGTTTTCTGGTTTAGTGACAGAATAGTTAATCACACTTAGGTAATTTTCCTGAGTGTTTGAGTAATACACTTTATGGTTTCCTTAAAAAAAAAAATCATGGGGGCCAAGGAGATAGCTCAGTAGAATAAGCGCTTGCCTGGCAAGTGCAGGTTTTTGAGTTCAATCCCCGGTACCGCAAAAAAAAAAAAAAAGAGAGAGAAAAAAGAAAAAATCACATTATATTCATGTACAACAGTTCCCTAGTCTTTTTATTTGGGTCTTTAATGATACAAGTTTTTAAGAGTCCAGACTATTACTTTTTTTTTAAGTCTTACGTAACATTATTTCTGAATTTGTATGATTAGATTTGAACTATAAATTTTGGTGTAAAGCTATATATGTGACAATCGCCCTGTTCTTAGGATGTCTGCCATGCGTGCAAGCTCGTCCATTATCGGAGACGCTAAGTTGGCCTCCTGTTCAGTGTCCTTCTGCCCTGTGTAATTGATGATTCTTAAGCAGATAGTTGGGATGGAGACTGGTGTAAAGCACGGGTCCTCTACCTCACCCAGTGGCCACTCGGCCTTGGTTTCCTGAGCATGTTGTTACTGGAAGAACTGTGGGCAACGCAGGGAAGTAAGGGCGAGGAGCGCCGAGCCGTGAGCTGCGGGATCGCAGGAGCAGCTGGGTCTGTGCGGCAGGGCCCTGTTGGCGGCGCCCTGTCGTGTCTCCTGTGCCGCGGTGCGCCCGGCCGCAAGGAGGGATTGTGGCCAAGATAACTTTGTTCCTGACATCGAGGCCCTAACGGAACGGTAACCTCTTGTGTCCATTAGTGCCTGCTCTGGTATACACCTAGCTGGATACTGCAGTGAAGATCCTTTTTCACCTTGACTTATAATGAGATTTGCTTGACAGATTTTCTTTTTTCCAGTGGGTAAATTTGTAAGTGATGTTCTGCTAGTTCCAGAAAAGTGCCAGTTTTTCCACAGAGAGAGGATGGAGGTGTGTGAGAATCATCACCACTGGCAAACGGAAGTGGAAGAGGTGAGGGGCCAGGCCCAGGGGCTCGAACTGCCCCTCCGCGGGAGGGGGCGTCCACACCGCACCGGGATTTTGTTATTTTCTTAATTACTTACACCTAATAAATTAGAAATGTTTGATAGAGAAATACATGTTTTTGTGGAGAAGTGTAGAACGGACAGTCCAGCTCCTAACATTGACACGATTAATTAGGGCCAGCCAAACAGTGCAGCAGATTAAAGTGCCTGTGTAGGCAGACGCAGCGGCCAGGGCTCGAACCCCACTGGCCCTGCCCCTGGGGCACACTGAGACGGCAGTTGAGACTGGCATGGTGACCTGTGCTTGTGATCCCAGCTTTTGGGATGCTGAACACAGGTGAATCACTGCGAGTCAGATCTACACAGACCCTGTAGACCCTTACTAAACTATCAAAAAAAAGATTAATATCGCTCAGTTGTAGAGCACCTCCCTAGAACCCTTGGGTTCTATCCTCAGCCCCAAATAAGAAAAATAGCAGAGTTCCCTTCTTTTTTAGGCTGCAGTGCATCTCCATTGTAGAGCTGCGTCACACATTTAAGGCCCTGAGTTTGATGTGTAGCAAACCACCCCCCCCCCCCCGCAACTCACCCAGCGAAAAGGGGTACTAAAAGCAGTTGAAGTATTGTATGCTGTGGGCAGGGCTCCCAGGAGGTACCCTGAAGCACTGTGGAGAATCAGCAACTCTGAAAGTCTGGGGAGAGGAGCATCTTTTCTTGTAGTCCGGCTGGTCCTTTGGTCAGAGGTGGTAGTGCCTGGGCCAGCAGTAATTGAAACTTAACATTGATCATTTTTAACTGTTGTTGATAAGGAAAACTCCCTAACCTTAATTTTTTTTTCAAATTATGATCTTTTGATGTTTTGAGCTCAGATGTTGTTACAAATTAAGTAAAATTTAGAAATTTTCAAATAGTGTTAGAAATGTGGCAGAAAAGTTGTGTGTCCATAAAGCATTATGTAATGACATGATAAGATTCTTTTTGGAGGGGCTGGAGAGATGGCTCAGTGGTCTAAAGCACCTACTTAAAAAACAAGCTCAGCAAAGCATCAGGGACCGCGGTTCAATCCCCCAGCACCACATGCCGGCCAGCCCCGCCCCCTGGTGGGCTGAGCTGGCCACACACACCTCTCTCTCTCTCTCTCTCTCTCTCTCTCTCTCTCTCTCTCTCTCTCTCTCTCTCAAATAAATTAAAAAAAAAAAAAAAGATTCTTTTTGGATACAGCTAGGGACTGAGAAGTCTTCATGATGCAGAATGTTCTGATGTGGCCTTTGAACTCCTCCTAGGTGTGCTTGACTCAGGGAATGACCTTGTATAGTTTTGGCATGCTGCTGCCCTGTGGGGTAGACCAGTTCCATGGCACTGAATATGTATGCTGCCCTCCGACAAAGATTAGTGACTCTGGTGACTCTCTCGTGTCGAAAGAAGAGGAGGATGAGGATGAGGATGACAATGAGGATGAAGAGGAAGACTATGATATTTATAAAAGGTAATCTGGCCTGAGCCCAGAAGTCATTTTGCCTGTTCAGCAACCCGTCGATAGAGGTGACTGTTAGCTGCTAGACCCTACTTCTGGGTAAGGTGGGTGGTGTTTTCGTATGCTGGACCTGATTGAGCCTGCATTTCATACTAGCCATAACTGATCACTGAAGTCTTTAGGATTTTGAGTTTTCTGTTGTTCTGGGACACATTATTTTCTGCCAGTTCATACAGTCTGTGTTGGTTTAACTCTTGCCTTTGCTGACGTAGCTGAGCTGAGTGCTTTGGTGGTACAGTTACATGTGAGTTGAACTTACTTCCTGTCTCTGTTTTTGCATTTCAGAAGAGACAAGGAAATCATTATTGTGCTTTATGAATTAGAATTGGCACTAACCTTTAGTTTTTTGTTTTTGTGGCATTTAGTGAATTTCCTACCGAACCAGATTTGGAAGACTTCACAGAAGCAGCTGTGGATGAGGAGGAGGAGGAAGATGAAGAGGAAGGGGAGGAAGTGGTGGAAGACCGTGATTATTACTATGACGCCTTTAAAGGAGATGACTACAATACGGAGAACCCCACTGAGCCCAGCAGCCGCGGTGCTATTTCAGACAAGGAAATTGCTCATGATGTTAAAGGTAACCCTAATGCAAAATGGGCACTGCCATTGTTTACGTAGAATTTGTATTACGTTCATCACTTGCCTCAGGTAAGTCTGAGAAGGAAGGCAGTGTGTGTATGCGGAAGGAGACTCTGGATCTTCAGCACAGCGGTGGAGGAGCCATTTTAGCAGCGAGCAGCAGGCCTGTCTAGGCAGAGGTACAGGGTTGAGTGAGAGAGTTCACGTTGTAAGGATTTAATTGGCGAATAAAAGACCACACAGTCTGCCTGCCAGCCTCAAGTGTTCTCTCCTCCCAAGGAAAGCGACCCTCTTCAGTTCTGCTCAAGTCTTAGCTTTTAGGAATGGAGTGACTTTCTCAGGTACACACGCATGGCCCACTCTGTAGGCTGCCCTCTGTCCGGAGCTTTGCAGCTGATAGGATGAAATTACCTTACCACTTAAAAAGGGAAGGTGGTGATAGTTCCAGAGCCATTTATTTACTCATAGCCTCTGCTAATTGTTTATTTCAAGCCAATTAAGGGAGGATGAATTAAGACTCAACTAAGACAAAATGACATAACTAATCTAGAAATTTATGATTGATCTTGGAGAACATGAAAATGAGAACATTTGCCCTTGCCAGGTGCTTTAGCCTTGGCCGTAGGTATCACTGCATAAAACAGCCTTTCCACCTGCACTGACTCCTTGGATCCTTTTTTTGTATGTGTGGAACTGGGGATTGAACTCAGGCCCTTGCGCTTGCCAGGGAAACTTTTCTTGGATCCTTGAAGCTACCGGAGTAAAGTGTCTCCACTGACCAGAATTCCTCTGTGTCAACTTTTATGTCAATCTAAAAAAGTCTCTGTTTTGAATGTCTTCATTGCATAGACAGCGACTCTGCACACAGATGCCTGACCGGTGCTGGTCAGTTTGGTTGGCCAGGCCGTCTGTCCTGTCATGGTCCCCTCCACGCCCTGCCCTGCCCCACCCCAGCCAGCCTGTAGCATTGTGAAGCATTTGAAGTACTAGCTCTGTCCTGCTGACACTCTGACCCATTTTCACACAGCTGTCTGCTCCCAGGAGGCGATGACGGGGCCCTGCCGGGCCGTGATGCCTCGTTGGTACTTCGACCTCTCCAAGGGAAAGTGCGTGCGCTTTATATATGGCGGCTGCGGCGGCAACAGGAACAATTTTGAGTCTGAGGATTATTGTATGGCTGTGTGTAAAGCGATGAGTAAGTCCCGCCTCTCGCTGGCCCTGTGCAGCAGCACTGTCTTGTCCAGTGTTCTGTCTCCTGGCCATCCTTGTAACCGCATCTGTGTTGTGTTCCTGCTGGCTCAGGTGTTGGCTGTCAGTCGTTTCCCCCTCATCTTTGTGCCTTCAGGATTGAGGCTTTGCTTTTCTGTTGGCAGTTGTCAGCTCAGTTTTTTGTGTCCTGTGCTCCCCATTTGTCTGCTAGTGGCTGGTGGTGGTGTGTCCCTTCCCTGGTGGCAGCAGGTGGCACAACCAGGGGCTGTTCTTTCTCACCTGGCCTTGGCACCTATAGGCTCTGAGAGTGCTCTGGGGTGGGTTGGGACCAAAGCCGCGCCCTTTGCTGTCTGATTGAAGAGTACCAAGGGTGAATGAAGGGTAGCCCTGAGTTCTTCACATGCTTGTTTGTCACCTCTTCTTCTCATAATTGAGTTGCCCTGTCACTGACCCCTGTGAAGCATGCCACCTGCTGGGGCATCCGCTCTCAAAAGACGTGATAGTGGAAACACCTTGCTGTGTGCGCTCCAGGGAGTGCTCTGCAGCCGAGTGGTGGTGGCTGTGTTTCTCTAGTATCTTGGCAATACTCGGTCATGCAGGGCTGTGAAGGAGTTTTAGCTGGTGTGTTGTTTGGGTCTCAGAAAGTGTAGTGGTTCCGTTGAGTTGGGTTTTATTAGCCATCAGTGTGAAGAGAGTTTACCATCTTTTGTTACGAGCCTGCCTCTCTGCCTAGCATTAGCCATCAGTGTGAAGAGAGTTTACCATCTTTTGTTAAGAGCCTGCCTCTCTGCCTAGCATTAGCCATCAGCATGAAGAGAGTTTACCATCTTTTGTTACAAGCCTGCCTCTCTGCCTAGCATTAGCCATCAGTGTGAAAAGAGTTTACCATCTTTTGTTAAGAGCCTGCCTCTCTGCCTAGCATTAGCCATCAGTGTGAAGGGAGTTTACCATCTTTTGTTACGAGCCTGCCTCTCTGCCTAGCATTAGCCATCAGCATGAAGAGAGTTTACCATCTTTTGTTACGAGCCTGCCTCTCTGCCTAGCATTACTTATGCTTCCCTGTGTTAGGAAATCCCTCTGCCAGGAAGTTTCTCTTGCTTTCTCTTTGGAGTTGGCCAGAACAATGAGTTGCTGCCTCTTCCTCACATGTGCTCCAGAAGTTTTGGGCTATAGTTCCCGATGATATTTGATTGAAAAGCCTTTACATTCCGTCTGTCTTCCTTTGCTAGAATTTTTAAACGTTTATCTAACAACATGCAGTCTGTGCTTCCCCTTCAGCGGTGTACTAAGGAGAGCCTGTTGTATGCGGCAGATGCAGTGGTAAAGCTGAAAAGGGTGCTCAGGCGGCGTTGGGTGCATAGACTTTGTTCATTCAGCAAAGACTTAGAGAAAGAGATGACTACAGTGATGGGTACTACTGTGTAGAACTACTCAAACTCCAAGATCAGCAACACACTGGGTTGAAGTCTGAAGAATTGGGACCTTTCAAAGATCTTCTAATTCAGTGGTGGTGCCCACTGGAATGGCAGGACTGTAAAGTTGTTTCCTGTGGCTTAAGGAAGATTTGCCAGGGAGAGCATTGCTGATACTTGCAGGGTCCCTGTCTGGCAGGCCGTGAAAGTCTAGAAACATCAGGCTATTGGTGGTCATCTTGGAATGGGGCTGGGGTGAACGGGTGCACTGGCGTTCAGAGCCTGTTGGGAGTTTGATCTGAGCCCTTTGGAGTAACCCTCTAGCTGTGCTATGATTCCAAGGAAAATAGAGGTGCACTGTGTTTTACACAGTCTACCCAGCTTAGTTCCAGGAACCATCCCCAGTGCCTAAGCCTTTGCCCTGCTAATGAGTGTCAGGGTAGTCTTGTACACGCGGTCGGGCGTGGACGTGGAATTCTCCCTCTCTGGACATGGCATCTCTTGGGGAATGTGGTTTGCTAAACAAATCATTTATAACTTAGTTAACCTGAAAGCTGGATATTGAGATCCCTTTGGAACATATAGGACTCTAATATTCTTCACAAGGTTTTAGTAGTAGCTTTTGCGGTCATCAAGTCAAAGGAAGCAGAGAAAAGATGCCTCTGACAAACTTTAATGTGGCTGGCTGATTTGTAGCTGTAGTCATCCGTTGTATGATTACCTTATGAATCAAACACAGTTCTGGAAAACAATGAATTTGTTTCTGAATTAAAGATCAGTTGGATTTTGGCATTTGCTTTCTGCTTTCCAGCCTGAGATATCTTACTCAAGGAACTGAATGTGAGTAGCATTCCCACACGTATCTCTTCAGAGCTTGCCTGGGGTAAACCTGCCCTGTGCCCGTCTACCCTGCACATACTCTGCCGGGGCCAGTGGGAGCTTCTGCTGACCAGCAGTGAGGTGAGGGATGTCTTTTCCAGTTGACCTGTGCTCTGAGGGATGCCTGGGAGTGTCCCTGGGTCAGTGTTGTGCATCAGACCCAGGGTGTCCCCATGTTGGTGGAAGGTAGCCGTGTCAGACACAGAAACTGAAAATCTCCAGTAGCCCTGTTTCTGGGGTAAGTGTAAAAATCCGGCAGTGCTGCTAAAAATTCAGAATTTGAGCCAGACTGGTTTGGACTTTCTCTATCCAGCATGTGTACAAAGAACTTTCAAATGAGCCTTTTGCACAATAAGACCTAAAAGTTGCCAGAAGAGAGGAAGAGGACTGAGTCATAAGTTCCTTAAAAAAATAGACACATGTGGGATCGCCTCTAGCTGGTCTAATTTCAGCCCTGGTCCCCATTTAGATGCCACAACTGACAAGCAGAAAGTTTGCTGCTTTTCAGGTCTTCAAGTTAAAAAGCTGTGAGCCAAGGTTAGAGAAGCGGCTGTCTCCTTTACTACCTGCAGTGCTAGGATCCTGGGGTGTGAAGCCACCAACAAATTGCTGTGTTAGCGTGGACCAGCGTCGTGATTGATGAGTACTGAGAGGCGGCCCATACAATCTCACAGAGTGCAGTCTTGGCAGACAGCAGCGCCAACACTTTCTAGCCAGCCAGGATCGAATACATCCTGCAGGTTCTGAGCTGGGTCGTCTTCTAGAGCACGCCGCAGTTTTAATAGTGTGCCTGACCTCCAGGAAGACAACTTTTATAATTTTGTTTCAGTTCCCCCAACTCCTCTGCCAACCAATGATGTTGATGTGTATTTCGAGACTGCTGCAGATGACAATGAACATGCTAGATTCCAGAAGGCTAAGGAACAGCTAGAAATTCGACACCGCAACCGAATGGATAGGGTAAACCTCTTAATCTTTTATTTTTTTTAATGTATTTAATAGAGTCTACAGGATCTCACTACACAGATCGGACTCTAGTGACCCTAGTTTTCAGCCTCCCAAGCGCTGGGATTACAGGCATGCACCACCACGCCCAGTCTCAAGTGCTGTCTCAGTGCGCCCCAGGGGTGGGGCTGGCACAGCAGGGGTGGGAGGGGGACCAACCCAGGCCCCTGTGCCTACCTAAGCAGGCGCTTCAATCCACTGAGCTGTCCTGGTCAGCCCAAAACCTCTTAATCTTAATGGTGCTTCGGTATTGGGTAGCTTTTTTTTTATTCTTTGTGAAGTGGGTGCTTGAACCTAGGGCCTTGCACATGCTAGGCAATCAATCTGCAGCATGGTTTTTATATTTAAAAAGTGATACTTGTGGGTGTCATGGTATTAACATGTAATTCCAGCACTCAGGAGGCCGAGGCAGAAAGATTGCCACAAGTTTAAGGTGAGGTGGGGGAGATAGATGCAATTTCCTTAGAACATGATGCGCTGTAAGAAAAGCTGAGGTTCTGTGGGGTTCCCTTCGGGGTGAGCACCTCCCCCATATCCTATAGACTTGAAAATTTTGCTGTAGACACTGTTGAACATTTTCTGTAACTATTATTGCTTTTCTTTGTCATTACTGACTTAAAGTTTTTAAAGCCAGAAACTGTATCTTTGTCACAACTAGTGTGATAGCCAGTGTCGGGAACAAATTAACTGAAAAAATAAATGAAGACAAAATGTTTTAATGCATTCTGGCCAAATACTGTTACAAGAAGGCCCTGAGTCCCAGGGTGTGTGTCTTCCTCAAGCGGATCCTCCTTCCTCCTGGGCTTGCCCAGGACCAAGCGAGGTGCACACAGATGCCCCTCTCAAGGCCTGTGCTCCACCCGGACACCGTCATAACCCCTGGGCTGACCTTAGATTTTGGGGAAGGCTCATTTTATTTTTCCACATCTCTTCTGAGAAACAGCTTTTTGGTAAGGAGATTAAGACATAGACTAAAATAACTTTCCCGAAGTTGCATAACAAGGAGGTCATGGTATCAAAGCTTCATGTAGGCCTAGTTTAGGCCTAGAACCTTCCTAGGCAGTAACTGTTGAGCTTAGAAGGGATCATGGAATACAGATACAGTTTCCTTTTGCAGATTCTGACACTTGAGTTCAATGCCTGGCAGTATTTTTAGAAAGTACGGAAGTTGTTTAAGAGGATTATTCTCTGATGTTTTGACCTTTGTTCTAGGTAAAGAAGGAATGGGAAGAGGCAGAACTTCAAGCCAAGAACCTCCCCAAAACAGAGCGGCAGACCCTCATTCAGGTAAGGTGCTTTTTCCAGGGACAGAGTATGCAACTTGGCGAGTTGAAAATAAGTGTATGTGTTCGGAGTCAAACTCCCAGGAAAAGGGAATTCGATATCTCTTCTTAGTCAAAGGCTTAAGTTGCAGGGAAGTCGTTTTCTTTTTCACCTCTAACATTGCTTGCTTACGGTATAAGGAAACCAGACTCCCTCCCAGAGCATACCTAATTCTTGCCAAGAAGTAACTTTAGCTCATTTGTCATTTGGTAATTTTGTTTCATTGACAAAAGTTCACTACCGTCTTCATTCTTAGGATGTGGCTTGTTTTTCAGAAGTGCCAGATTGAGGGGTAGATTAGTTGAAAAGTCAAAGGCAGAAAAATAGAGGTTTTTAATACACGTTCACCTCTAACTCTGTAAGAGTATAACCTTAAAATTATAGTAACAGACTTCATTTTCCTTCAGTAGAAGAGAGTTGCTAATGGGGCTACCAATTTAGTAGGTATGTTTTATTTAGGAAAACTTGTATTTGTACTTTGGGGTTCCGACATTTGAACCCAGGATCTCAGCTGTGCTAAGCACATGCTGTACCACCAAACTACATCCCTAGACCCTGATGGTATTTCAGATGTTTATGTTTTTAATCATGGTGAAAATCTTAAGTCTTAATACCGATACTAGCCAGTGTGTCTTACACAGTGGAATTTGATTTGACAGCCTCAAGCAGTAGCTGTAAAGTTGGCTGGGTGTCTTACGGATAACTTGCCTTTCACAACTTCAAGCAATTCAATGTAACTCACTACCACGCTGTTAGATTACATTACTGTTGGTCCCTGGTTTCACCACCTTGGAAAGGTAGCACCTTGATGTCGTGTAGAAAAGAGGCTTTCAGCGCACTGCACGGCTTGCGGTGCTGTGAATTCCGCTTGCCAAAGTGCTTAAGGCTGTGACACAGTCCTGACTTGCCTTTTCGGGGTGGAAGTATTCCAGCAGCAGCAGGCAGATGCGGTGTGTGTCCGTCTCTTGTGCTGCACTCTCTGAACCTGTCTTGGGTAGCTGCTGGGCCAGGAGAAGCGCTGGAGTCTAGAGCTGCTCGCTCAGACTTGCTTGAGGGGTCACATACTGTACGGCGTTCCTCCTCTCTTGATTTAGCACTTCCAAGCTATGGTTAAAGCTTTAGAGAAGGAGGCAGCCAGCGAGAAGCAGCAGCTTGTGGAAACCCACCTGGCTCGAGTGGAAGCCATGCTGAACGACCGCCGGCGGATGGCGCTGGAGAACTACCTGGCAGCCCTGCAGTCCGACCCTCCGCGGGTGAGTAGCCTTGGGGTCAGTAGTGCCACCTGCCTTCCTGGTCCACTTGCAGAGCAGTGTGGGGAAAATGACTTTTATGCCAAGTTTTTACAGAGTTAAAGGTAAGAAAAAGTGTTTTGGTAGCTGTGTATGTGAGCTTGCAGAAGCTTATGCCTGTGCACACCACCTGTGGTGTGCAGCTACGTAGACACACCCTCAGGATAGTGGTAGGTAGTCACAGCTATTGGAGTTCCGGTAGTTGGCAAAGAATGAGAACATGCCTTCTGTGAGTGGAGGCTTTTGAAATAGTTCCATTTGAAATAGGATTATGGAGAAAAGGATACAATAATTTATCTTGGGACTCTTGTGCAAGGGGAGACCACTTTTTAACCTCTTAACTCCCTCCTGCCTTACTCTTGGGGGATGACACACGCTAGAAAAGGTCATGTTTGTGTCCTGCTTCCTTCTTGAGTACCTAGCTTGGCCTTTTCTGTTTGAGTGACAGGAAACCGCCAGCTGGTTGCCAGAGGCTGAGCCGCAAAAGAGACAGGTTGGGAGAGGACGGTGGGCTGGGGATTCTGGGTGGGAAAGAGCTTATTTCCAGGGGATTCTGAGGCTGCAAGTTAGGTTTTGGTATTTTTATATAGAAACCGTCCATTTTTATACTTCACTAAGCTTCACATTTTTAAGTGAACTTTTCAGCTTTTGTTTCTACAAAACTATTTTGAATTCCAGACTGGATATTAAAATACCTGTTTTCTCCTTTAGCCTCATCGAATTCTCCAGGCCTTGCGGCGCTATGTCCGTGCTGAGAACAAAGATCGTCTGCATACCATTCGTCATTATCAGCATGTGCTGGCTGTTGACCCAGAAAAAGCAGCCCAGATGAAATCCCAGGTGTGCTGCGTGTAGAAGCCACTACCGGGAGATGTGTTGCAGTGGGGCTCTTCATTGACTCACACCGACGCAGCGTTGCGTTTGGCTTGGTTTCTTAGTCCTTGGGAAGGGATTTTTTTATTCCAACAACTTGGGGCACATGAGTTAGTTTCTGTAGTATTTTTTTTTTTTTTTTTTTTTTTTTTTTTTCAGAACCAGGGATTAAACTCAGGCTTTTGCACTTGCCAGGCAAGCAGTTATTGTACTGAGCCATCTCCCTGGTCCCTGCAGTACTATTTATACAGTATCCTTTTCATACTTCACATTAAGTGCCTTGTATTTAATAGTTTTTGAAAGTTTAGAAATACAGGAATACGTTGAAGAGATGAGTCGATTTTTATGCCAATTTTAAATCAGTTTATTTCTGTTACCTCCAGAATTAATATTTGGTCCCACTTCTAGAAAAGACCTTTTAAGGACATATTGCAAGTTGGTTTTGGGCTGAAAGTACCGCTTGGAGACTGGATTGCGTGACTCGCGTGTGTGAGGTCCTCTGGTTTGGTGTCTAACGCTGCTGCCTCCCACAAAAAAAAGATCTCTTTGTTTTGTACCTTGTAGCTTATATTTAGACACTTGTGCATTTCTGGTTTTTTGTTTTTCCTTCTTGAATTTTGTCCTATGTGGCATCTAGCCTTACTGTAGAGGTTTATTCCTGATTCTTTTGTGTCATTTCACTATTTTCTGTATATTGACTTGTTTTGTTTGTTTTCCTAGAAAATGAACTTGCCTAAAAGACTGCTAGCTGTCTTTTAAACCAAAAAGCCTACTGGCTCTGCTGGATATTTCTTGAATGCTTTATAGCAACATCACTGATCTTATTTCCTGGCACATTTTTAATACACTGGTGTGGGATTGTCAGCACCAGAATGCACTATTGTTATTGTCATTGTTCATCGTCTTAGGAACTCTCTCTCCCAAGTTTTGTCGTATGTACTATGATCGTAAGATAATTTGTCTCTGGAGTTTTAGGACTACTGGAGCCGAGTTCTGCTCCATTTGCTGGGCAGAAAGATTTGTGTGTCTCTTACCTGGCAGATTGCATAGTAATACCTGATGATGGAGAGCTGAATACTCTTCAGCAGCCCACACGCCGGTATGAAATTAATTGTATTAACTGCAAAGATGGAGAATAATTATCCATAAATACCCAGAGTAGCTCACATTAGAAGTTAGATATTTGCGTAGAAGTGGTGGCAGACACCTTTAATTCCAGCTATTTGGAAACCCCAAAAGTTCCAGGAAACCTAGGCAATCTAGGGAGACCCAAGTCTCAAAATTAAAAAAGGATTGACTTCACACCAGGTGGCAAAAAGGACCAAAAATCCTGAGGGCTTTTGGGAAGATGGGGGAAAAACTGCCTTCTGTCAGGGGTTAGGTAGATTTCTGAAGTCTGCTCTGTTTTTGAGGAAACTTAATTGTTTTCCAAGCTTTTTGGTGAAAAAATGGTTAGCCATATTGTATTTTACAGAAAATTGTCCTGTTTTGTATGATCAGAATAGAGGAGGAGATACCATTTAGTACCTCAATTAATCAGAGGATCCTTAACATAGGAATCAAACTACCACCCCAAATGCAGTGAGAAGAACTGTCCTACCAGGAGCGTTCCAGGGAGACCTGGCTCTCCTGGTTGGTTGGTTGGTTGGTTGGTTGGTTGGTTTGTTGAGACAGGTCCTTGCTGTGTAGTTCAACCTGTTCATGAACTCACTGTGTAGTTTAGACTGTCCTCAAACTTGCGCTGATCCTCCTCCTCAGCGTCTCACGTGTTGGAATCGCACCACCACACTCAGCTTGTCTCCTGTGCTTTTTACATCAGCTTTCAGCCCATACTTCTAGCTCAGCATGAGTTATATTAACCTTTTATTATCCCAACTCTAGAAAAAAATAAAATACTGAACCATTTCCTTATTTTAAATATCTAGAGCCAGAAAAATATTGTTCATTTTGGATTTTCTTTTTTCTTCAGACTTTGGAACGTTTGCCATCGTACGTAATGTGCTATTCTTTTTTTTTTTTTTTTATTCCTGTATTTTAAGGAAGGGCCTACAGGTGTTCAAGGTCTTGCTGCTAGATCAGACTGGTAGCAATCCACCTGTTTACAGCTTCTGAGGAGCTGGGATTACAGGCGCGCACCACCACACCCAGTCTCAATTGCCATCTCAGCTTGCCCCGGGGCTGGTGTGGCAGGCCCTGGGTCAAACCCCAGCTCCTGCACCTGCTTGCAGGCGCTTTAATACACTGAGCTATTTGGCGGGCCCCGTAATATACTAAAGTTTAAATATGAAATTCATTATTTCATACGTGTCTTCTGTGCATAGCCTAAAAGTAATTTTATGTAGTTTTATTGACATATTTTGACTGTGACTTTCATATGAGGTCAAGTTTAGAGTTTTCTGCTTAGAGCATCGTGCCAGTGCTCAAAATGTTTCACATTTTTGAACAGTTCTGATTTTGGATTTGCAAGTTAGAGACATTAAGCCAGCAGAACTTTAGCCATATTTTTTTGGCTGAAATATAAGTGAGGTGCTCCTCCTCCATCTAGCTCAGGGTTACTATAGCAACACCGGCTTCCAGCATTCTGCCCTGTGGTTCTTTTCCTCCTATGGGTGTATAAATTGGCCTTTTGGAGAAGGCTACCTGACTCCTCTGGGGAAGACGAGGATGCTGGCGCTGGCTGAGAGTGGGCTGGTCCGGGCCCCGCGTCTCCATTTCCTCAGAGGCACGCGCTCTTGTGCTTTCCCATCAACTTATTTGATTGGCAGAATAGCAAATATAAAATTAAGCTGCTTTCATCCTTGCTTTTAAGGGTCAGAGGCATCAGTCTGCAATAAAAGCATCTTACATTTAACTTTTTCTTTCATCTTGACCCTTTGTTTTAATGGCTTCAAGCTCGCATAATTAATCTGTTGGCCTTGAGCACCCTCTTTAGGAAGAGCTGGGAAACGGTGAGTCTGACTAAAGAGTCGGCCTGCCGGCTTTGTGGGAGCTTCAGTAGCGCGCCTGGCTTTCATTGGGCGGACGTTAGCCCAGGTCACCTTATGGGTTGATTTATACCTCTATTAATTTTTTAAAGAAGAGTAACTTAGTTAAGTAGGAATGAACTTATCTGAACACCCGACATTGTATAAAAGGTTTTAAAACACTCAAAGTGATTGGTAGTAAGTGCTTCCTGTAAGAATCAGACTCAAAACTAGATAGCAAACATTTTTTGAAATGAAGTTTTCTTCTGGCTTGGATCCCTCTGTAGAGGAGCATGCTGTCAGAATGTGTTGGGTCAATGGGCCTGGGCTTAGCACGTCGCCCCGGCCAGCCACTCTGCCGACTGAAGCGGGCACGTGTCGCCTTTCCGGAAGTGTTCCCGCCTAGCTGGGGTTCTCAGTGACCAGCCTCTCCGTCCTGACTCTGCTTCCAGGTCATGACCCATCTCCATGTGATCGAAGAAAGGAGGAACCAGAGCCTCTCTCTGCTCTACAAAGTGCCATATGTAGCCCAGGAAATCCAAGCAGAAATTGGTAGGTCCTCCATGGAGCCTTCATCAAGGCAGGGCTTTGCCGAGGCTCAGGTGCCCGGCTGGCAGGACGAGAAAATTTGAAGCCAGCAGGGCTCATGAGGTGGGGCGCGAGCATGCTGTGGCTCCAGAGGTCAAGGACTTCCTAAGGACAGCTGTGCTGGCGGGAAGCCACAGAGCCTTGAGTGTCGTTGACCTTCACTCTGGTTAGTGGAAGGAAATCCAGGGTGTGAAATTGCAAGGGCTCCGAAATTTCTTGTTAACATTTCCCCTTTAATTACCGATGTCCTCCAAAGAACCTTGCTCAACACAGATTCCAACAGCCTCTCCTACTCTTTGTCTTCTCCAAGCTTTATTGTGTCTACTTTTGTGTCCCAGAATGGAATGGTGCACGGGTTAGTGGGCAGTAACCACTAGACTTCAGATTACAGCATGAGAGAAACTGATAGCAAAACAAAGCAATGATAGCCGGGGAGATGGCTCAGTGGAATAAGCGCTTCCCTGGCAAGCGCAAGGGCCTGAGTTCAACGCCCGGTTCTGCCAAAAACAAAAAAAGATGCTTTTAGTGATGAGTAGAGCCTTACAACCAGGGTGGGATGGTGGGAGTGCCCTCAGGTAGGGGAGCAGTAACTTGAGAATTCATGAGTTGGTTTTCTGTGGAGAAAAGAGGGAAAGCATTGTTAGTAGAGGAAGTGATCACTCTGCAGGCCTGAAGTCACAGTCACCAGTGCGTTTGAGTCTGTGTCGCAGGGAGTGAGGACAAAGTAGGCAGGGTCTGGATCCTAAAGAGGGTTAGGTGAAATCAAGGAGTTTGGATTTTATTCTAGGTAGGATAGTGGGAAACAGCTGGGGGGCTTCAGCCTGGGGACTGACCAGATCTCGATTGCTTTCCCCAGTATGAATTTGAGTGGGGAAAGTCTCTTGGCTGTCATGTGGAGAACTGATTAGAATTGAAGACCAGCCCAGAAGAGATCATGAGAATCCAAGAGCAAGACTGCGGTAGTGTGCACTGCCAGTGGTGGAAAGTGAAAGGCATTTAAGAGATGAGCTCCAGAGGAAAGGGCCAGGGGTGTGGAGAGGGTTGAGGGAGGAGAGCACCAGCATGTCGTGCTGAGGAAGGACCTGAGCCAAGGAGCGGCTGGTGCTCATGGAGATGGGAAGAAAACAGTGCTCCTGTGTGGGTTCAGATGGGAAGCTGGACAGGAAGGTGGAGACTGAAGGTCTGGTAGCTACAGGTGAGAGGTGTAGGAACCATGGTATATGGGTGGTTCTTGAACAGGTGTGGGAGGAGTAGGCCAAAGGGTAGGAGACTGCAGCAAGGTAGCGTGAGCGAGCCTGGAAATCAAACGTGCAGTGTGGGTGTATAGGTAGTATGATATCATGCTGAATGTGGCGGCGCTCCCTGTAATCCCAGTACGGGGAGGCTGAAGCCGGAGGCTCACCACAAGTTCAAAGCCAGCCTAGTCTGTATAGTGAGTTAAAGTGCATCCTGAGCTAGATGTATGTTCTAAATTTGCTAGAAGAGTAGGTTCTCTGTATTCTTACCAAAGAGGAATTCTGGAAGGTGATGGGTATTTAATGTGCACAGTTAGTGGTCCCTTTACTTTGTGTGTCAGCACATCAACCTGTATATCGTAAATATGTTCAATTTTTGAAAATCCAAAGCTAGCATTGGAGAAGACCACTTAACCAATACGTGGAGAACTGGGAGAAAAGGGTCTGGATGGAGCCTCAGGTTCCTGGCAGTACTGCAGTGTTGAAGAAGGTGTTTGGTATTGGGCATAGGGACGCAGAGCTCACCTGGGTTGCAGACTGAAGGGACACAGGGCAGATCTTAAGCTCCTGCATGACAAGGGTTGGCCTTCTGCAGGCTGCTGCTCCTGGGTGAACTCTGAAAGTTGCAATTCTGATTCTTGCCCATGTCCTCAGATGAGCTCCTTCAGGAGCAGCGAGCAGACATGGACCAGTTCACTGCCTCCATCTCAGAGAGCCCCGTGGATGTCCGGGTGAGCTCTGAGGAGAGCGAAGAGTTCCCGCCATTCCACTCTTTCCATCCCTTCCCACCCCTGCCTGAGAATGAAGGTTCGTATGGTCCTCACATGACTTCTTGATGGTGGGCAGGGGGACAGCGCAGTTAGAACGTTGAGGGAGTATTGTTCATGTTCCTGGTGAGAGGCAAGGAGAGGGGGACACGGTTCCTTAAGCACTGCTGTGTGTGATCACCGAGCTGGTCCTGCCTGCTAGCGAGCCGCTGCCACAGAGGTCAGGGACGCTTCTCCCGTGGGGTAGATGGGCCGCTTCTCCCGTGGGGTAGATGGGCTGCTTCTCCCGTGGGGTAGATGGGCTGCTTCTCCCGTGGGGTAGATGGGCTGCTTCTCCCGTGGGGTAGATGGGCTGCTTCCGCGATGCCTTTTTCATGCAGGAGTTGCTTTGTGGGTGAAACAGCACCTTTATGTTATGTAAAGTGGTCTCTTTTTTTTAAATGGCAGTTTTGTTGATTCTTTTTTTTTTTTTTTTTTTTTTTGGTGGAACCAGGGATTGAACTCAGGCCCTTGCACTTGCCAGGGAAGCACTTATTCCACTGCGCCATCTCCCCAGCCCATTATTGCAGTTTTGGGAGTTAGGGCCTGGGGAAAGGCCTGGCTTGGCTGAAAATCACATTTCTGTGTAATGGGCCTAGCCAGGCCTGCTTTCTTCCCTTCTTGTGCTGGTTCTTGTTGACTGAAAGGACCTCTAAAAGGGATGAGTTTGCCCCAGAAATAAACATGTTCTGGAGACAAGGATCCTAACACCAGCATGTATAATCAGATTCTGTTTACTGCTGCTGCAAATGGGGATGGCAGTGATAAAAATGGCCACAGTGCTGGAGTCCTGATGATTTGGCAGCTTTAGTTAAAGCCTTTGGCTTAGAGGCTTTCTTTCAGTCCTCAGAATAATTCACTAAGGTAGGTACTGGGAGTGTCCCCTTTGGGGATCCTGAAGTTTAAAGAATTTAAATACTTTCCAAGAGCCTGCTGTGGAGGGGGAGAGAGAGGATTTGAACCTGAGCTGACAGGGACCTGTAGTCCCTGGGGTGCGGTCGTGTACTCTGAGCACACATAGTGCTGAAACAGGCCAGGTCCAGCTTAGCTGTCAGACCCTAACAGAAATGCCTTCTGAGCTGGTTGTCTCTGAGGCACTGCTCTGACCTCCTAGTAATAACACAGGAGTGAAAAGGTACTGAGCAGATGTGGAGGTGTCAGCTCTCCCTGACCCTGATTTTACAGATCCTGGAGCTGTAGCAGAGCCACGTGGGGCCACTTCTGTGTGCTTATTTGGAGCTGGAGCATCCTAGGCACAGCCGTAGCTCAGCCAGGGCCCTCGCTCTGTCAGTAAACCACAATCCATACTAATTTTTTTTTTTTTTTTTTACTGTTTTACTATTTTCTAAGGAAAGGAAAATAATTTAGCAGTCTCCCATAAGTGCCCTTAAAAGGTCCAAGTCAGAGTTACTCTTTTTTTCTCTCCTCAAGAATGCCTCCCAGTAATTTGCTGTAGATCTTATTGCTAATTTCTTAGGCAATACAACAAACATGGTTTTTAAGTAAAAATGCCTTTCACTCACATTTTAGAGAAATTCTAAGACAGGAATTTTGAAAGAAGCCATTTTTTTTCTTAATCTCCTTTTGTGCTATTTTGTTTTTTATTGTTTTCCTTCTGCTAGACACTCAGCCGGAGTTGTACCACCCAGTGAAGACAGGTTGGTTTGTCACAGACCTCCTCCATCCTTCTCACCTCCCCATGTGTCGGCATCTCACTTTCTGTTTCATGTCATCGCCTGATCCCCACCTCATTCTCAGCCATGGCTGTGCTGTGCTCCAGCAGCCCTGGCCGTCCAGCCCTCAGGCGGCCGCTCTCCTTGGCCGTGGCTGCTGTGTGGACACCGGAGCTTTCTTTCTAGGATGTCCAGAGAATGCACAGTAAATCACTTAGATGCTTTGCTGATCCTTCTAGAATTTAGCAAACTTAAACAGGTCAGTTGTAAATTGCTGGTATGTAGAATAACAGTGCATAATTCGCAGGGCACACCTTTCGCCTTTCCTCATCTTTTTTCTCTTAGTTGTCCCATGTAGCTCTTCCCCTTTCCTTTAGCTGTGTGCGCGTGCGTGTGACCCGCTTGTCCATGTCCCCTGAGTTGTAGTGGACCTTGAGAAGCTGATGATGACACACACAGCGACTGGTGAGCTCTGGGGATAGGGAATCCCCAGTTTGCAAAGACTCGTTGTGGAGAGCACTGAGTCCCGTGAACTTGATCTCGCATAACCCACTGAGTCGACCCCTGGGCAGGATTCTCACTCAGGGTGATCGATGAGGCAGTTGAGCCCTGTGAGGTTCCGTGGCTGGGGCGGGGCTCTGTCCCTGAAGCCGCCTGCGTTCTGGCTGCTGGCATCCTGCCGGGCGGTGCTCATGCCCTTCCTGTATGTCAGAGGCCCCTCCGGGCTTCAGCACGCTGGCTGCAGCTAGAGCAGGCAGCTTTTCCTGGCTCAGAGTTTGGAGTTTGGGTTATGCCGCAGCTCACCTCAAAGCGCAGAGTGTGACGTGAGTGCTCTGGAGTGACTTGGGCGTAGCCACTGGATTGGGGTGCGCCTTTCATAGAGGTCGTCCTGCCGACTTCCTCTCACCAGCACACCAGCCGTGCTTACTGATAGAGGAAATTTCTCAAAACTTACCTGGCTTTTCCTTTCATAAGCTTTTTTTGGCGGAATCAGGGATTGAACTTTATAAACTCCTATGATTTGGAACAAATTAACCATTAATTTTTGGTCTCCAAGTAGTTTATTATAAATTTTTGTAAGTAATAATTTGTTGGAGTTTTTTTGTTGTTTTTTTTTTTAAATTTTTATTTATTTGTGTGTGTGTGTGTGTGTGTGTGTGTGTCCAGCTCAGCCCACCAGGGGGCGGGGCTGGCTGGCATGCGTTGCTGGGGATTGAACTGCGGTCCCTGTGCTTTGCTAAGCTTGTTCTAAGTAGGTGCTTTAGACCACTGACCCATCTCACCAGCCCGTTTTGTTTTGTTTTTGGCGGAACCAGGGATTGAACTCAGGCCCTTGCGCTTGCCAGGGAAGCACTTATTCCACTGAGCCAGCTCCCCAGCCCTTGTTTTGTTTTTTGAGACAGGGTCTCGCTGTGTAGTTCTGGGTAGCCTTGAACTCACTGTAGCACAAGTGATCCTCCAATCTCAGCCTGCCTAGTGCTGGGGTCATAGACATGCTCCCAGCATCTAGCTGCCAAATGGTGTGGGTATTAAACCGTGAGAGAGTTGGGTGGGGGAGGTGGGCTGAGGAGGGAGGATCACCTCAAGTGCAAGGTCAGCCCAAGCCACATAGTGAGATCGGATCTTGTCTGGAAAAAAAAAGTGAGGTTTCTCCCACCAAAAATGGGCTAGAATAATCTGGATTGGTAACAGACCTTTAAATGACTTGGTTTGTAGCACATTGTTTTTTACATAAGGTTTTCCCCTTATGACCTTTACAATTTTGAAGAAAAAAACAAGACACTCAGAGTAAGAATGTACTGGGCTTGTTTGTAACACCCTTGTTGCGGCAGAACTTCCAGACTCTCCTCTCTCAGAAGCTGGGTGCAGTGCCGCTGTTTTCATGGGCATTTTAAGACTACGGAAACCAGCTCCGACTTGACTCTAATCAGGTTATACAAGTTTTTTTTAAGTGAAAGGCTTAGAAAAAAAGTTGCATCACTTTCGGCTCTGTCAGTGACGTGTGCAAGCCAGGCAGCTGCAGCGGCTGGGAACTGCCCCGTGCCTGCGTCAGCGGGGCTCTGGGTGTGGACTGCGACGCCCGCCTGCAGTGAGCCAGGACAGCAGCGCCGTGGCGCTTGCTTGCAGGTAGCTCGCTTAGGACGTTGTGTACGCTGCCAGCTTGGCCTGCTTGTTTATAAGAAGCTTGTACGTAGACGTGCGTACAGAACTGCACATGTTGCAGAGGAGCTGAGACTAGCTAGAAGTCCCGTCCTTCAGTCCTGAAAACAAGGGAACAGTGTCTAGTGTCGCCCTTGCTGGGCCCAGGCTCCATGCAGCTAGATACTGTCGCTCCAAGTGCCTCGCGCAGGGAGGTTAGCTCAGCCCACGTCTGAGCTTAGAAGAGGCAAGTTGCTGTTCTTGGCTCTGTGTGGGAAAGGTGCCCTCTGTCCTGGTGGTAGGATTGTCTTTGCTGATGACGTGCCCTTCTTGTTCATTCTGTACTAACCAGTGAAGGTGCACCTGTCTGGGATCTCCTATCTGTCATACATGCAGCCCTGTGGGAGATGCAGAAGGAAGCAGAATGGCAGATCACAGCAGTTTTAAAAACTCTGAACTCAGTGCCTCCCACAAGGAGCTGAAACTCAAAGGGCAGATAGAAGGGCTTGAGAATAGGGAGTGTATTTGAGGCAGAAAGCATTGCCTATAGAGTGAACCCAAGCTCATTGCTAGCCTGTAAATCGTGGCTGGGTGACGCTGGAGGACCCAAGTGCTGAAGGGCTGGACTGTGAATAGCGGGTGATAGCATGATCACAGAGGGAGGTGTCGTGTGTTTTCCGTGTTACAGTGCCCTTGGACTCAGCCACTGTTGCTTAACAAAAGTGCTCACTCCAAAGACAGGCATCCCATTTTTCCTAGTGGGAGAGAAGTAAGCACTCCGTCCTCCACGCCCACCAGTCCTCTGAAAGGGCCTGCATCACTCACCCTGGGCAGAGCACACTGCATCCTCAGGCCGTGGGGGCGCAGTGGGGTCCTGAGCTGTGGGGAGGCTCTTGGCGCGGGGTCCAGCCCTCAGGCAGGAGTCTGCTGCTTCAGGGAGACTGGCCTTGCGTTGACTTCCTGGACACTCAGCGGTGCTCTCTCTCCACACAGGGTCAGGAGTGGGAGAGCAGGACCGAGGCCTGATGGGTGCAGAGGAGAAAGTGATTAACAGTAAGAATAAAGTGGATGAAAACCTGGTGAGCCCACTTTCTCTCTTCTCACTGAAGTGTCGGCGCGGTCCAGCTGTTACTTTTTTTTTCCTTATGGCAGTTCATGACTCAAAAGAGGACTTCTAGAACTTCTTAAAAAGTAGCAAGCATATGGGGGCCTGGCCCTAGCTCAGTTCTTTAAGTGGCTGCTTCCACAGAGCTGTCAGCCTCAGGTGGTTGTAGTTTGATCCCCACAACCCTGCAGCCAGCCAAAAGTGCCCTGAAGGCATTCAAGGAGGAGCAAAAAAAAAAAAAGTAGCAAGCATAAGATAAGCATTGGCTGTTTATTTTGACCACCTTGTACCTTTGCAATTGAAGGTGTAAGGAACACGTTAGAAGCCAGTTTCACATGAGCAGAAATTTAATAACAAAATAGAAGGAAGTTGGGTTTGTTTTCTTTGTTTTTTGACCCAAGCCCTCACTGCAGTTTGGGCTGGCCTTGAGCTGTGTTATTCAGGCTGTCTTCAAGCTGACAACAGTCAGGCACACGCCCCGGGCTTGGCTTTGGTTCGCTTCTTGCACTACTGAAATTTATACCCGCTTTGTATTCTTTTAGCTTTTTTTTTTTTTTTTGCATTTGCTATATTTATTAAATAAATAGAACTTACAATAAGGTATAGAATATAAAAGAATAGATAATGAAAGCCCTGACCCTAGCTACCCAACCTGGGTTCACCCCTCTTTGGCTGTGTCTTTTAGCATTTTTAATTAGGTTTCTGGATTATGTTCCAGATTATATCTAAATTAGCTGAATTTGGTGTATAAATGTAGCCTCTTCCCAGAAACCCTTATGAGACCAGCCATGCATGTTAATTTTGCTAACCCTTTCAACCAAGGATTTGGTGAGTGGATTGGGGCGAAGGTGACAGAACTGACTAGACGGGGTCCAGCAGGTATGAGCTCTCCACCACCAGATGCAGTAGAAAAGAAGCAGTGGTATTTATACTGTGTTTCCCCACCACCCAGTTGTTGGTTGCTGACCTTTGACCTTTCACCACTATTGCAGGTTGTCGATGAGACTCTGGATGTGAAGGAGATGATTTTCAACGCAGAGAGAGTTGGAGGCCTTGAAGGAGAGCCGGTATGTGTTGGGCTGCGGAGCCTAAAGCCAAGTTTCGCGTCAGTCAGCTTCCCACCCTCCATTCTGTGGGCAGTGAGGATGCCTGGTATTTCCAGTTACTTTCCCATACTTTGGTGAGAAGGCGTCCAAGGTGTTGGTGAGAAGGTGTCCAAGGGTGTTGGCAGTAGTGGGCTTTGTCTACCAGGTGGGTGTTTATTGCAAAGCAGGATCCGGTGCTGCCTCGGGCTTTAGAAGCCTCTCATGGACCCTGACTTGCTGTCTCAGAGTTGCCAGGTGGTCACTGGGACCAAGTCCACGTTTGCTTTATGATTTTAGGAGTCTGTGCGACCTGTGCGGGAAGACTTCAGTCTGAGCAGCAGCGCCCTGATCGGCCTGCTGGTCATCGCAGTGGCCATCGCCACAGTCATCGTCATCAGCCTGGTGATGCTGAGGAAGAGGCAGTATGGCACCATCAGCCACGGGATTGTGGAGGTGAGGGCTGGAGGGCAGCGTCTGCCTGGGGGAGGCGAGCGAGGAGGGGTGCGGAGTAGGAGCCGCACTGCCCTCATCAGTTACAGGGCCACTGTGTCAGTTACCAGGTCGCGCTGGGAGTCTTCGCTGAACGCCACCATTCCTGCCATAAGGGGCTGCCGCTACCTTTCAGTATTAGTTTGGGTTTTGACTGAATATCAGGAAGTCCTAGGAGTATTCTATGCTTTGGATAGTAAAATTGGTTTTCTCAGTGTATTCCTAGTGTTCTTTTTCAGACGGGTCAGATATTTAAGAATGAAATGAGGAAGAATGTATGCAGTGTGTTAATTATTGAAACTGTCCTAGCGATTTGATTTGAAACTGTCTCATTGCTATTTGTTTATCAATAAAATTATGGGAAAAAAAAGAATGAAATGAGGCCGGGCATGGTGGCACACATATAATCCCAGCACTGGGGAGGCTGAGGCAGGAGGATCACTAAGGATCCGAGCTGCATAGTGGAACCCTGTATCAAGTAAATAAAAGATCAAAAAATAAAAAGACCAGGGAGGTAGCTTCGTGCCATAAGTGCCTTCCTGGCAAGTGCAAGGTCCTGAGTTCATCCCTCCTACCACGAAGAACAAAAAACCCCACAGATGCTGAAATGTAGGGCAACATATTGGAGTGTTTTTACCAAGATGGTGCCGAAGGCGACGAAGGAAGCCCCTGCCCCTCCCAAAACTGAAGCCACAGCAGAAGCTTTGAAGGCCAAGAAGGCCATGCTGAAAGGCATCCACAGCCACAAAAAGAAGATACGAACGTCGCCCACCTTCCGCTGTCCCAAGACACTGCAGCTCCAGAGGCAGCCCAAATACCCTCGGAAGCGCGCCCCCAGGAGAAACAGGCTTGACCACTATATGCCGTCATCAAGGTCCCCCGACCAGAGTCAGCCATGAAAAAGACGGAGGACAGCAACACGCTCCTGTTCAGTGTGGATGTCGAAGCCAATAAGCACAAAGTCAAGCTGTGAAGAAGCTCTGTGACATCGATGTTGCCAAGGTCAGGCCTGATGGGCCAGGGAGCTGGCTCAGTGGAATAAGTGCTTCCCTGGCAAGCGCAAGGGCCTGAGTTCAATCCCTGTTTCCGCCAAAAAAAAAATAAAAGAACATGTTCCAGAAAACTAGTTCTGAGGTGAGTTTTAGTAGTCTTGTCGTAGCTGCTCCTAGATACTCCTAGCTCTGGAATTTGAGCACTGCAGAAGACCAGAGTCCATTTGGCCCCATGCCTTATTTCATAGCCACGGCGACGTTTCTGCTGGGAGCAGAAGCAGAGCCCAGGCCTGGCATCATTGGTGCCGTGTGGCCCGGTCAGCTCTGCAGAGCGAGCTCTCAGGACTCGTTTCAGAAAGAAGCACTGTCCCAGGGGCTGCTCTTCTCTTTCCTTATCTGCATCCTCCCCACCAGCTCTCATTCATTTGGTCTCTTCCGTTCTGGTTAGTGCATGTTTCCAGTGTGATTACACTCTTGAGGAGTTGGTGTGTGGACATGACACACTGTAACCCTTTCTTTGTTCCTCTCCTCTCCTTCTCATATGGTCTTTCCAATGGAAGAGGACTCTGCTCTCGCTGCCTTTGGTCCCTGGGGTCGTGCAGCACAGGTCTCTTGACTCCCAACTCGCTGGCCCAGCCTCTTGCGGTCCCCACGGTGACCGGAGTCTTTGTTCTTCCAGGTCGACCCCATGCTCACCCCAGAAGAGCGCCACCTGAGCAAGATGCAGAACCACGGCTATGAAAACCCCACGTACAAGTACCTGGAGCAGATGCAGATCTGAGTGGCAGGAAGCGTGAGGCACCCGTCCGAAGCCAGCGTGGGCGGGGAGAGGAGTTCAGGTTCCAGACCCCCGGCTGGCCGCCAGGACCACCCGAAGGTCTCGTCTTACATCCAGGCCACCTGGCTCTTTAAGACTGTAAAGTACTACTGTAGAATTGCAACTTCCATTCTTTTAAATGGGTGAAAATGTTAATATAACAATATATGATATATAAACCTTAAGTGAAAAAATGATCTATTGCAGATATCTGAAGGATGTAGTTTTCTTTTTTAAGTTAATCAGAAACCCCACTTCTATTGTATTGTTTCACACATGCTCTATATAAATGGAAATGTTGATTTTTTTTTTAATGATAGATTGTATATGCAGGCTATTTGTTCCAGTTACAGTGTACAAATCAACTCTAGGCTCATTCACTGTCCTAGTTTATATTTTAAAAAAAAAAAAGTAAAGACACAGTATTCCCTTTTTAAACTTCAAGAGAGTTGTTGAGAAACAAGTGGAATGGGGAACCAGGAATGGCCCGCAGACACCGTGTTCCTCGGGCCGAGTGCTGTTACCGGAGCGCTCTCGACACCCCTGCTTCCGCCCTGGCCCGCCGCGGCCTCCTGTTCTCCCATCTTCCGGCAAGCCTGCTGCACACAAGTGAGGTGTCCAGGGCTGCTCTTGCCGAGTCCAGTTCTTCCACAGCAGCCAGCCTGTAGTTTGTGTCTGATGTTCATCACTATTCGTCGGTTATGTCCTGCGGCATCTGACTCCCCACTTCCCTTCCCAAGGGCATCCACACGTGTAGCTCCTTCCTCTTAGGCCGTCTCCCTCCAGGGCCCTGGTGCTGCCTGCCCCGCACCCCTGCTCCGCCAGGCCTGGCCTCTGCTGTGCGGTGAAGACCACAGGAAGGAGCGGCCGAGGGCAGGAGGAGCGGAGCGGCCCTCGCGGAAGGAGGGTGCTCTCCGTGGGTCTGTAGCGCTGCGGGAAGCATTGGAGAGTTCTGTTTCCTTCACATGAGTCTCTGTAATGCTTGTATAGTTGTTGTTGCTCACAGGTTTTTGTTTTTTCAGTCCTAAAGTTCTGGTAACCAGTGGTGTTTATTTTGGTTTGTTTTTGCTAATTTTCTGTAGCTGTCTCTTTCTTTTTCTTCCCCTTCACCCTGTCCATGTCTCTTCCCACTATGCACAGATTAAACTTCACCTACAGACTTCTTAATATGATCTGTGGAGAATGTACAGTTTAAACACATAAATAAACACTTTAACTTCCACTGAGACTCCTCGCTCTGTTGGCATTGCCCTGTGCTGACGTTTACCGGTCCTGCCCTCCGGGGTGGCGGGTACCAGCTGCCCCAGAGCATCACTGGCTGCACACACAGACGGCACAGCAGCCCGAGCAAGTCTTCATCTTTCAAGTTCCAAGTTACTTTTCCTTTCAAAAACCAGAGGAAGTCTGAGGGTATTTGTCCTAGAAAATTGAAATTCGACTACCAGAACTCAGTTGGTAGACTTTTTTTTTTTTAACTGAACTTCAGAGCCATGTTTGCACCCTCCAAGTTGCTTAAATAGCCAGGCCCTGGGAGCCATCTGAAGGGGTGCTGCCTGTGTCGCTGAGTGGGTGTCACTGCATGTAGGGCTTCCCCTGTAGCAGTTTTCTCTGAGTCCTTTTTTGACATACTATTCTTTAGCAGTACTGGGGATTGATTGCAGGGTGCAGACTTGCACATGAGGCAAGTGCTGTCCCCTGAGCTGCATCCCCTGTCCTTGGTATTTTGAGGCAGGATCTCACTAACTTGCCTAAGGTGGCAGTTTAGTGCCACCTTAGACACTGTGCCCTGCTCACTAAGTTGCTAGTTTGTTTTTGTGGTACTTGAGGTTGAATCCAGGCCTTTGCACCAAGCTACATCCCCAACCCCCGTTTTTTTTTTTTTTTTTTTTTTTTATAAGCAGAATATATTTATTGAAAGAAAGAAAGCTCCTGTCCTAGAGAGGAATAGGAGGGTGGGCCCAAGCGGGTTGTCCCCACCCAACCTTTTTTTTTTTTTTTTTTTTTTGGCAGAACTGAGAATTGAACTCAGGCCCTTGCACTTGCCAGGCAAGCACTTATTCTACTGAGCCATCTCCCCGGCCCTCCAACCCTTTAAAAGTAATTTTTATTTCTGAAATGAGCCTCACTGAGTCACTCAAGACTGAGCTCAAACTGGTGTACCTCCTGCCTCAGCCTCCCAAACTGCTGTGCTTACAGGGGTGGCACCATGCCCAGCTCCTTCTAATGTTCAGCTACTCGAGTAAGTTCGGGAGCTGACCTGGGCAGTCCCCACTTGAGTTGCAAGCAGTGCATTTAAACCTGTACTAGTTACCAAGGCCGTATCACACCTGTGTGTTGTGTCACACACCTGTACCTGCAAGGGTCTTTGTTGAGACTGAGGGAGGGTGTTCCAAGCCAGCTGGAGATGGCTGGCTCTTTACTTCCCCATTTGCCTCAGCCTCCTGTTTGCCTGCTTGAAGTTGCTGCTGAGAACATCAAGAAAACGGAACTTTAAGGCCATTCTGCCAGTGCTGTAAGCAGTACTGTCACTTTGCTGACACGCCACCGGAAAGCAGCTCTAGGGTTCATGATCTGACTGCAGATGTAGCAGGCCGACCACAGTGCCTGCCAGCTGCCTTGCGGGCGAGCCTGCTTTAATCTCCCTCACTGAAGGTACAGCGTGGGCTCCCTCCCTCCATCCTGGAAGGTGGCAGGCCATCTCCCATGCCAGCTCGGCTGGTTCTTGTAGTCCTGTTCAGATCTGGTGTAATTGTGATGTTGGCCTGTGTACCACACTGCTGGGGGTTGGGAACTGGGGATGGGTGAGAGTAGGAGGCTGAACAGCTGGGGCCCCAGGACTTCACCCTGCCCATTGTGCTTTGCATTCAACAGATCCGATTCTCCTTACACTGTAAGGTACATGTTTATATATGGCAGCCATATAAAGATTTAAGAAAAAAAAAAAATTCTTTTTTTGAGACAGCTTCAGAGTGGCCTTAAACTCATTCTGTGGCCCAGAACTCCTGAGAGAAGGGATATAGGCAAGCATCACATCTTCCTAGGGAGTAAGTGCAAGGAAACACCCAGGAAAGGGTAAGGCAGGAGCCACCTCAGCCAGCCCTGGCCTGGCTACATTCTGCTCCGGGTGGTGCAGCCCCCTCCTGAGAAACTGACTCCAGGTTTCTGCTCTGACTCAGCCTTGACCTGGGGAATGTGGCCCTACCCACCCAGGTGCAAAGGTCCGCTCCTACTGCCTGTCTGCCAATCAGCTCTCTGCTGAGAGCACAGCCAGCCCAGGTGTCCCTGACCTGCTCTGGTTTCTATGCTATGACAACTGATATTCTTAATTTCAGAGACCCAGATTTTTTTTTTTTTTTTTTTTTGTGGTACCGGGGATTGAACTCAGCACCCTGCGCTTGCCAGGCAAATGCTTATTCTACTGAGCTATCTCCCTGGCCCCAGAGACCCAGATTTTGACACAAGGAGTCTCCAAGATTTGGGGGACCCAAGGGCCTCCTCTCACAGGAATGCACTGTCCTTCCCACTTGGGGAGGTAGTCAGGGACAGACAAAACTGAGGGGAAAAGCAGAAGCGCTCAGACCTGAGGGAACGAAGCAAGCAGCTAGCCGCAGACCCAGAGCCCTCGGCTGTGGGTTCTGGGCCCTTTGACAAAGCAGAGAGCAGCGGCTGGACCTGTTAACTCTGCAGTGAGAGAAGCCCTCTTCATCTGTCCCATCCCCTGCAAGGACTTAGCTTCACAGACCTCAGCCACAGACTGCTGGGGAGGGAGCAGCATAGCAGGTTTTCCCTAGAGTCTTTGCTCTTACTTTTAAAATGTTTACTTGTACATGCTTGCAGTACCAGGGATTGTACTCACCATGTGGAATCGGTGCAGGGCACAGTGCGTGGTAACGTCCCTTGCTACCTTCCCTCCCTCTGCAGGGCAGGGCTTCTGGAGTTGTGCGACCAAGGGTGCCAAAATTTTAAAGTCAGTGCCTCTTTCTGGCTAAAGCAATGCTAGTAGGCACAATACTTTTCATAGATGGCGTGTACATATTGTTGGGTTTTTAAAACTTTTTGTTAGTACACATTTGTAGTACAATATTAATGGTTACATTCATGGGGGGTGTTGGTAGATATACATCTTAATTCTTTGTACGTCCCCTTCCCCACCCCTCCATCCATCCTTAGTTATTTTGAAAACTATTTGATGCTGTCTAGTCGCCCAGTCCCTAGGCTCTGCATCCACCCATTTCCTCACCTCCTTCCTGTTCTGATCGTCATGACGGCTCTGAGCACTGCTGGGCAGGCCCTGTCCAGGCACCTCCCCACTGATGTCTGATTTGTTTCCAGGATGAGAACAGAGATGAGGTATCCTCATAGCGAGAGTTCATGCAATCTCCCTTAGCACCACTGATGCTGACCTTGGTCAACTGGCTGAAGGGGGGTGTCGGTCATCCAGCTCTCCTCCCCACCCCACCCCACCTCACCTGTGTGCAGCCACTGCTTACAGCATAGAGCTAAGCGCTCTTTGTGGTCCACAGTTAAGCCCTCCTCTGTATTGCTACACAACTTGGGGGAGGGGCCCTCCTTTGGCACCCCATGTGCTGGGCTTACAGGCATGCACCACCCCCCCTTACTATTTTTAAAATTGTATTTTGCCACTTTGATAATAGAGCAATTAAACTGGGCTTGGTGGGGCACACCTATAATCCCAGTGCTCTCAGCAGCTGAGGCAGGAATCCAAAGTTCAGCCCTGGGCTGCTTTGTGATTTAGTAAGACCCTGTCTCAAGATGAAAAGTAAAAGAGGTTGGGAATGTAGTGTGAAAGCCCCGAGTACTGGAAAAAACGGCATTTAGTCTAAGGCCAGTTGGTTCCTAGGCTGTGGCCTCGGTTTCACAAGCATGTAGGTGTGCCAAAACAGGGAGACGAGATGTGCAGTGTATGAAGTACGATGAAAGTACAGTGAAGGAAGGCCAACAAGATAGTTCAGCGGACTAACGCGCCGCTTAGGCAATGCAAGGACCACGGTTCGATCCCCGGCACCACATGCCTTGCCAGCCCTGCCCCCAGAGCGGGCTGAGCCAGGCAGAATCCGGGCATGGTGGTGGCGCCCGCCTGTGGTCCCAGTGCTGGGGAGGCTGCAAGCAGGAGGATCGCCACAAGTCCAAGTTGCAACAAACCAGATACATTAAAAAAATAATAATATGGTGAATGCTTACATGTGAAAAATACAACAAAGAATAGCCTTGCTGTTGATGCACCACAGAATGTTCCCCGTCCCCTTGAACACCTTGCCACTTTCTAGAGCAGTTCTAGAAACCATGTCATGAGTGCTGCCTTGTGCTGTCCTGGCTGCCTCAGTAGTCTTGAGTCACTTGAAGCATGTAGTTTTCATTGTCATTGACAGGGTCCTTTGGGCCAGCCCTGAACCCTCCTTGCAAGTTCCCTCAGACAGCATTTCTGGCTTCTCTAAACTTGGGGTGTTTCCACTGTACCTTGGGCTTCACACTTAGCTCCACATGCCAAGCCCGCGGGAGCACACTGCCTGGCCTCCAGGCCTTCTGAAACCTGGGTGGCAGCTGCCTTGATGTGTGTGGTGAGCGGAAGTGAGAGTGGGGCAGACACTGGGAGGGGTCCGAGTTACACAAACCCCGTGATCCCGTGACAACTGCTGACACCTGAGACGCTGCTGGGACACACAGTAGGCAACCCTGCACGGAGGCTGATTCCAGTCCTGGGTGGGGTGAGGCAGTGTGACCTGAAATTGCATCCCTCTACTCAAAACAGAATGCAGTTTAAAACTTACTGTTCGCTTCTAGAATTTTCCGTTTAATATTTTTGGACATAGTCAACCAAGGGTAATTGAAACCTCAGAAAGTAAAACTGGATAAGCAGATACTACTATAAAGGCCAAATCCACAGTTGTGTAATTTGACTTGCATTTTGTTTTTGAGGCAGGGTGTCACTGTGTAGTAGAGGCTGGCCTTGAACCTCATGGTGATCCTCCTGCCTCAGCTTCCCAAGTGCTAGGTTACAGGTGGGCACAAGCAGGGCCCATGACACTCTGAACCTTTGGAGGTCAGCCCCTTTACCGTATTAGCAGTTAACTTCATGTGAGCGCTGAGCTCTGCTGGCTGGCAAGTGAGTCGCTGGCTTTCATTGCAGTGAAGCCCACGTGAACCTCCAGTGGGACCATGGGTGGGCGAGTAGACTGGGCCATAGCCACCTGGTTATGTGCA